CAACTCTAGTTGCAGTAGCAAGTAATAGTCTGCGCCTCGGTGGCGAAGTTCGTCAGGAGTTCGCAGCAGAAGCAACGGCTAGTGGAATGCAGGTTGTTTTGCTGGACGTCTCGATGCGATGACCAGATAGGATACGCTGGATACGCGGATATCAGCCGCGGAGTGAATTTTTGGTGACGAGGTTGGAAAAAGAGAAGCATCTCAGTAAAGTTTGCCGATGGTAAAAAAAATGCAAAAAACATACAACAGCGGGGATTCCCCGGTGGTCACCCACCCGAGTACTAATCCGCCGGTATCTTGCTTAAGTACTGCTGAGCGAACGGGAAGCGCTGTGTCTTAAGATCCTATGGTCGTATGTGAAGGAATTGGCGTTGTGGCGCTATTATATTGTCGGCATTCGAGAAAGTTGACAGAAGAAACTGCAGTGGCTGTTGCCATCGCGCCAGACCCCATTGCAAAACCAGAACTTGCACTTTTAATAATATCAGTGCCGTGACTGCGAAATACTTTCCTTGTATAAGACCGCGTGTCGTTACAATGACATGCATGCAACTTACCAGGATCGTTGACATGGGTAGCCGATCAATGTCACCGAAGCTTCCTTCGGATACGCCCCGTTCCTTCGGCAGGATCCCGAGCACCAGAACCTGGGGTAGGAACATGCTAGTTGCTAGGTCGATGACGACAAATCGGGTGTTTTGGAAGGAAGCCATGTGCAGTGAAGGACGTTTCGCAAGAGGCAACGCTGTCGGCTGGTGGCGGGGACAGTGGCGTCGGGAAACTTCGCTTTAGCCGTGAGGGAGAAATCCGCTCGTGTAATGTAGAGTGCTGTATGGCTGCAGGTGTCGCTGCACTAGCAGTGTCGTGTAAACGCTTCCGTTACGGCGGAGGTGTACCTGCGCAAGCTACAACCCTGAGATGGTTCACGGTATCCTGTGGCTGCGCTTGAGGACAGCGGTGAGCGAGAGCATACTGTGCTTTAGCAAGCTTGATATATCAGCCGTTGCTACTTTACTGCCATGTCATGTTGATTCTTCCTCTTGAGAAGGTAGCGACAAACAACGACGACCGCGTATCAACTTCGCGCAGGAACTACCTTGGAACTACCTTGAAACTATCGTCTCTCTAGTGGATATAGGCTGCGGGGTCAAATTTGTGCATGGTTGCAGCTACTGGCTTGTTGAGTTGATCTTGTCGTCATATGTAAGGGCACACCTCTGAGATGGCAGAGTACTGAAGCATCAGCAGCACTCCAAGAGATAACTGATGCGACCGCGTCACTTTGAAGAGATGCTCAGATTGCAGGCGCGAACAAAGCCTTGCTGCACTCATCAGCCGCAGTCAATAGCCGTGAGTAACACCCGGCATGGCAGATGTCTAACCGAACATCGAAGGAACCACTTTAGACGTGGGTGTGCGGATGAGCATGTCCGCATCACTTCGTGCATGTTCTCAATGCGAGTCGTGTATACTTCCCCTAACACGACGTCAGCGCCTCTATCCGATCACGTGCACTTCGCAATAACTTACAGAAGTGACTAGCAAATGTGGGGAGTGCTGTCAATCCCCTTGTCGAGAATGGCAAGCGGATGAGGGGCGTAGATATGGCATCAGCCCATGTCGAAAATCAAGCTTTGGATCTAGGGTCCAGGTCGCTAAGGTGAGCCCATTGAAGCAAGGCGCCTCCAGTAGTCGCCGTTCACCTACCACTACACGCCCAATGCTGTTCCGTTTCTCGTGGCAGCCACAGCAGAGAACTCTTTCGACCCCTGCATCTCGATTGCAATTGCAAACTGTGCTTCCGTCGGATCGTCACCGGTGTAGTAATCCACGAATGGCTGTCCGGATCCGGTTAACCACGCCGCAAGCTCAACCGCAACTCAACCGCATCCCGTTATCTTGGAGAGCCTTGTCTAAAATTGGCTTTATAGTTCGGTCACTTCCGTAAACAGCCATGATCGGGACATACCGATGACTCGGAAAGTGGTTGCTTTTGCAGCCAAAATGTGAGGTGCAGCATCTCGGGTCCAGAGCCTTGGTAACCTGTGCTCAACTCCTGTTTGTAGGGTCTTGACAATGACGCCCAAGGTCACTGTATTTGCACGTCTTCCTTTTCATCTGATCCTTTAATAACCGGGAAGAGTACCCGCAGCCGTCGAACCGGTGACCCGTTTGATATACCAGGACTAAAAAGCACAAGAGACCGCGACTGCGCCGAGCGGACCAGTAGACAGTTCTCCCGGTGAACGTCTGACACTGACTTTGAAAAACAAAACAAAGCAGAATTATGTCTCTGCCAACCCTGAGTCGTGCATGCGCGCAGCACTAATGCAATCGTGGTGTGAAGATGCTGCATTAGCGTGCTGGGTGAGGCTGCTCTTTCGCATCCGTACCCGCGATGTCGAATGCGAAGTTCAGCGGCCATTACTGGAAATAGAGGTATTCCGAGCCCCACAAAAGTCCACATGATCGTCATTCCGCACGCTCATCAGCACATGGCATGAGGAGGCATAGCGCCGAGCACACAGGTACCTCACTCCCTTGACCCCGTTGAGCCCTGAATGAGGCAGTCGACGAGGCAGTCGACTCGTGGGCAGGGAGCCATCACAATCAGAGGCTGACGATGCCCAGCTGTCGGGTTCGCGATTCCTGGACGAAAATCATAATAGAAGCGCGGGCCCCCGCGGCAATGGCTCTTGATTACGGAGCTTGGTATTCCGCTCAGCTTGTCCTGAGCCGCCACCAGCGCGAAGATGCTTTGCATGCCGGCCACTCTAGCAGCAGTTGTGCCAGTGACGTCGAAATATGTCCGGGGTGCTCGGTGAATCAAACGCGCGAAACCAAACAGAAGGTCCGGTAGGGTGGTTGATGGTATAGGTTAATTGGCGGATGCTTAAGCTCGTTGGCCGGCGCGCGTGAGACGACGCCATCAGTCGATCAGCACCATGCCGCTTCTGGTAGTGATAGAGCCATGTATCAGAGGCAATCAGAGCAGACCACCGTGGCAATTGCGCGATTCCTGGAGGCCTGGCAGCAATAGCGGCTAGCTAGGCCATTGGCAATGTCCACAGCTGGTGAACTGGGCGAGTACACGTCCGCTCCAGCTGGGCCAGTCACTGTGATGGATTGGGATGATATGTACGTGAAGACGCGTCGCACACGGAATGTCTTTTGCGCGGAATAAGGTTTGTGTCGTGGGAACAGAAGCATGGCCAGCTGTCGCCCGAGTCCCACGTTCCACTCAGGCTCCGCACACGAACGCAACCTCCACGCGACTGAGGCTGATGACAGCTGCCCAAGCGGCTAGCAGGCAAAGCACGCTTCAGGGTGGAGCAAAGTGTCAAAGAGGTTGCTTTGCCGACGTGCAGTGGGTGGGAGCGAGAAGGGTGAGGATCCTCGGCAAAGCATCGTGGCCGCTTCCGAACTCGGCAGCGCACCAAGTGATTGCAGGCTAGCTCCTCAGGCCGACGTCCCGCCGTCCATCTCTCAACGCTCGCAACCAAAGCACCCCCATCGCTTCGCCAGTCGAGTGTCTATATCGGGCAGATTGGCTGGGAACCCACGTCCAACGCAAAACATCATACCCCCCTCATTAGCCTACCCGGCATCAGATCCGTTGATCAGCCGCCAATTTTCTTCTCCCACTCTCCTAGCGCAAGCCCTTCAATACCCCCGGTCCATTGGCACGCACTCCGACGAGACCTCGCACGACAGCTGCCGAATCGAACTTGACTTCTTGCCCTGCTCTGAACACTCCAAGTCCGTGTCCGCACCCGCTGTTTCTGCATCCGACTCCAGTTGCCCACCCTGATCCAACCCCCATGTACCTTGTCGCTCCCCAGAAAAGTATAGTTCCCATTCTAGTCTAGAACACCTTTGCTCCTATGGCCATTCCATGCCTGATGTAGGTACTGTGGACGCGCTATCATTTTACGTACAGCCTTCCGTACCCACGAACAGCGGCGGGCTTGCCGCTCGCTCCCCTTTTGGCCTTCCCAGCGGCCTCTGACACCTGGTGCGTGCTCCCCACTTCGTTATAACTAACATTGAAGCCCTGGCTCCACATGGCTCCCGTGGGTTGAATGATCGACTCTCCCTGAGTAGATTTGTTCTTGCCTTTGAGCCCTGGATTCCTACAAGACGACACCATCACTTTCATCTTTAACCCAGTCGCCCGTGAAGCTTGACTGCCTCGTCACTGGCGCCCCGCAGGATTCAACCATTCAGATCGGCACTGCTGCGAGGTTAATCGATCTTGGCTCCGTACCCGCTTCCAAGCGGACCAACATCAGCCCGCCGATCTTGTGCCCCCATTTCTCAGGATCGAAGATTACTCAGGTATGTCATCCCAGACTTCCGTCCCTTATATGGCCTTGTAGCTTCGTACTAAGTGCTACAGACTCGCTTGTTGTTACCTCTATCTCTACTCGAACCCATGGACAGTATGGCGCCCGCTCCAATCTCGGGAGGCCCGGGCGATGTGTCACCAACAGGCCTCTCAGGGTCTGCTACCAACTCCAAGATGAGAAAGAGGACCAAAACTGGGTGTCTCACCTGCCGAAAACGCCGCATAAAGTGTGGTGAAGAGAGACCTACTTGCAACAACTGCATAAAGTCCAAACGCCAGTGCGAGGGCTACAACCAACGAGTCATCTTCAAACCACCAATTGGCGACTGGCCGAATCACCCAGGCGTTGTCAGCACTATCCAATATCACACCTCCATGCTTCCTGGCACACGCAATCAATCATATCGAGGGCCCGAGCCAACTACCGGCATGCAAGAGGGCATGCTTGGTCCAATCCAGCCACGCCCGCACGGTAGCTTCGACTTCTCCCACATGGACGCGAGCCAAACTTCAGGGCCTTTGGAACCCCCACAAGCTTACCCTGGAGTGACCCATGGCTACACACACGATCAGGCTTATCAACAGCCTCATCAACAACCTCTGCCATCACCTCTTCACCAACAGCCGCTTTCTTCGCCAAACCACCCTCCACATGGTCATACGCCTACCGCTTCATATTTCCCGCCCCCTCAGTCTATGCACACCAGCCCACAGACACAGTATAGGCACGATTCGCACGGCACATTTCAACCGCCCATTCAATATACCCAGAGCGCGCCATATCCACCAGTCTCGGTTCCTTACAGCCACGAACCCGCTATAAAAGCCGCAGTCCCTCAGCCCCCGCCACACTATCCACAATCCTACCGGTCTGATAGCCAACAAGCCGAAGGTTCCTATCGGGATTATTCGAGTGTATCACCGCGAAGCGACCAGTATCCTCACTACACGGAAGCGCCACCGGGCATGCAAAGATACGATGGTCATCCGCATGCTCCCGTACACCCCCCGCAAGGAGGCCCCCCGAGCTTCAGCCACGTTGGAACTCACAATTACCCAGCAGCAGTTTCTCACGCTGACTTCAGTCATGCAAGCTATCCTCCTGTGCAGATGCCCATTCATGATATAACCCCAGATGTAAAGTATATGTCTCAGCCTGTCCTCGGTATGTCTCGTGTCTAGTTAAAACCTCATATACCCCAATGACTATCGTTATTCTCTTCGTGTCCCAACCCATTGTCAATCCATAAATTCGTGCATGTCTTCTAAGCCTGGGGTTGCTTAAGTCACCCCCGGTGCGACGGCACGCTACTCTTTATTATCTGTACATGTCCGTGAATGTTTCCAGGCTGACCAGTGGTGAATACAGACCAACCTACCGCCGTATCACGAAAGCAACGATCTCAACCGCAACTTCTCCTCGGCGGATTCGATGTCGACGATCATGTCAGTCCTACGCAGGTTCTCGACGAAGCCGCGATCGAAAACGAGGACGACGACTACTGGGACGTTCAATCGGACGAAGAGATGTTTGAAGCGGAAACAGTCGAGGACGAGCAGGCCCTACTTGCGAGCAAGGAATTCAGTAACATACGTCGCATACACCTCGAGAATTACAATGAGCTTGGAATCAGACGATACGATGCGTTCTTGTACGACGGGTTACTGTCGCACTATAGACCGGAGTATGCAGCAAGCCCCCTGCGCAATCCCAAGACTGCGAGGGTTTTCGCGCACTACATTCATGTGGTAAGTTTGACGGGATCGTTAGATTGTGATCTACCGAACTGGGCAGTGTTTACTAACATATCATAGACCGGACCTACACTGTCGATGTACGAACGAAATCCCCGAAATCCCACTCTCATCTTCGAAAGCACTACACACCCAGCTCAGCAAGGACTATGGACACATACATTACCTTTGAAGGCTCTGAGCCACCAAGGACTTTTACACGCCATGCTAGCGCTAGCAAGCCTGCACATCGCAAGACTGCAGGGTGCTTCTATAACGCCGTCCTACAAACACTATGCATATTCACTTAAACGCCTCGTGCGCTCTCTCGGCAACCCTACAAAACGTCTATCAACAAACACACTAGCGACTTCCTTACTCCTGGCTTTCTACGAAGTCTGGACGGCAGAACATGTGAAATGGGGAACACATCTCGTCGGTGCCCAGCGCCTAATCACCGAGCTCGACTTCCGGTCACTCACGCGAGAGTACAGACGCATGCGAGCAGCGCAAACGGCGATGGAACGACAGTTCCCACACCAGAATCCGGAGATGCTGTTTGACCAACGACAGTTCGACCAGAGGCTCAAAGACAGCGCTTTGATGCCAGATCAAGGTCTTGTGAGCACGATAGTGGGGAAGAAGGTTAATTACGACGACTTTGGAATGGTGTTTGAGGACAATGGCGCGAGGCACGACGCGAGGCAAAGCATACCCGCAAAACTGGACTTGCAAAGTTTCGAGACACTGCAGGATATTTACTGGTCATATGCTAGGCATGATGTTTACCAGAGCATCGTGAGCGGCCATCGTCTCATGTGAGTAACTCTGGCCTGGATTTAGAACTTTCCACTGACATTCAACAGTAACCCCTACCGTAAATGGTCCGATTGTCCCCCAAGAGCACCACTCGGCCGAACAGATGCCCTTTACGGCTCCCACGATCACATCATTCTTCTCCTAGGTCGTATCGCAGATTTTACAGTTCGAGACCGCACTCGCAAACTTCGACAAGTGGAAGCGGATGGAGGATGGCGACCTCGCCCAGGTATGCCCGGTTTTGGCAGCATGGGACCACCTCCCAGCGGCCCACCTGGTCAACAACAAATGCATGCGGGTTCTGGAGGACCTCCACCTCAGATGCAAGGTCCGCCGCCAGGATGGACAGGGCAAGGACCACCACAGCCACCACCTGGCTTTGGCCCACCACCCGGATCGACTGGAGGACCACCCCGAAGCCAACCACCACCCATGCCCAATTTCTACGGCATGGCCCCCTCCGCAGGCCCCGGCCCCATCCTCTCCAGCTACGAAAACCCAAACTACGAACGCTCACCCCCTACCCCCAACGTACCCAATCCGCAACACGCCGACCTACCCACCCTATACGAGAAAGCAGTCTCAGAATGGGAAACCATAATGGACGCCCACACATCCGTCTTACGAGTTCTAGAACAAAGCGAAGGCTTCGCTCCATTACCAGAAGACACTTATCCACCACCCGTACCAGGAGGCCGGCCCCACGAACACGGTGGAAACATGACACCCTTCGGCCCAGCCATTCTTCACAGAAGCTACGACATATCCATCCTATGGGGCCTCGCCTATCTCTCCAAAATCATCCTTTTGAGATCCCACCCTGGCATGCCACCCGCCGCGCAAATGGCCGCCGGCGTCTGCGCCTCCGTTACAGCACCTTACTGCATGCTCATCGGCCGTATATGGGCTAGCGTCAGCATGCCCGTTACATCAGACCTCTCCCCTTTCCTCGGCGCCGTCTTGACAGAATCAACCCTCTCTCTTTTCTTCGCTGGAATCACATTTCACGACCCGCGGCAGCGCGAGTGGCTCATTACGCGTCTGCTCGAAACAGACAAGAAAACGGGGTGGGCGAGCGCGGGTATTATTGCTAAAGGGTGTGAGACGGCGTGGGAGAAGGCGGCGGAGATGGGGAGGGGGCCGCCGTATAAGAGACGGACTAAGAAGGTGCAGCCTGTGGATAGGGAGGAGGTTGAGACTGAGGTTAATAGGGAGGGTATGAGAGGAAAGGAGAGGGAAGAGGGGAGGGTGCAGGAGATTGGTGAGACGAGGTTTGTAGTTAAGAGTCAGAGGCCGCCTTGGGCTATGAATCTTTTGGGGACGGAGGAGGATCTTAGGGTGGGAATGGAGAGGTTTGGGCTTTGAGGGGGGAGGGAGGATAGGAGGGACTATGGAATGGGGGAGAGAAAGAGTTTGATGTGGGTGGATAACTCAAGCTAAGAACGCAAGAGGAAGAGAGGACACACGGGAAGCAGGTCGCGTTGTACCTGGATAGTTTCTCATCGAAGGCGCCAGAGGCACAGAATTCGGAGCCGACCAAGAACGCAGGGAGCGAACATCGCCAGCTTCATCAGCATACCAAAAACCCCTTCTCTGGAAAACACGCGCAGAGAACCCCTCTGCCTTTTCATTACCTGTTAGGAAACAACAGGACTTACACGCCACACACACGCGCATCGAAACATACCAACTTCCCAAACCCAACAAAAGCACGACATCACCCAATGTCTCGCCGTGCATCCTTTGGTATCAGAGCATATAATCCAACCCACGCCAACGCAACGTCTTCTGTCCGGAAGCTCTCACATACACCTCCTGCTTCAAGCAGGTTCCTCGTCATCCAACAAACCTCTCTTACCGATTTACTTTCCAGCGATAATCTCAGTTCACGCCTAACGCAATAACGACTCATTACGAACCCCACACAATACCATGCAATACGATACCATACAATACAATACACCCATCATCTTAGAAAAGAACAAGAAACCTTGGAAAAGCATCGCAGAGGCTGGAACATCCGTCCCATTGAAATCGTGAAGTTTAGAAAGCGTGGAGGAAGTCTGAGGTTAAGATATACGTTAGCTTGTTGTCTTGTTGTCATGTTGTCAGGACGATGGACATGTATAGTGTAGATAAGTTTGCATATAGAGACGACATTAGCGTACCAGCAGAAGTCGTTTGCGTGCGTTTTTGTTGACATCCATGGATCGGCCCCATCGGCTGGGAATACCAACCTAGCATACCAGTTTACCAGCCTACCCAATTTACAAACACACAGACATATCTTCCGAGCAAAACATCGAGATTGGATGCGAAAGGCATGTGGACTTGATAAAAAAACCGTAAATTTGTCTACATATGCCGCCCGGAAAAGAAAAAGACCCCAAAATCGCGCCTGCTCGCTGAACATGAGTTTTTGATATCTTGATGACTCGTGTCCGATGGGATAGGTTGGATGCCACCAAACGCCTCTCTTCCTTCTTTGAACACCCAGCAAGAATCATGTCGTGTGAAGATCCAGATGAAACAAGGATTATGCTGCGTTGCCGTGTGATCTTAATTATGCCAAAAACTCCGATATTGCGCCCAACCCCGTAAGTCGTCGCGATTGCGCGAAGGCTTCTTTACCCCAACTACTGCCGTTTCTTCGTCACGTTTAGAAGAAGTAGTAGAGGAATCCTCCACCAGCAGTCATGAAGACACCGAACCACCACCATTGGTCAGCCCTGACGGCACCGGTTGTTCGCGCGTAGATAACTTCGTGGTTCATGGGTAGTTCGCCGCGCTTGGAGTTCTTGGATGCGGCGGTTTGGGTAACGAGGGGGTTGAGTGTCGTGGTGGGGAGCATCTTGGGTGACTTCATGGCGAGGTAGAGAGGCATCATGGGGGCGCCGTCGGATTTGAAGAGCGTGATGCGCGGGGTGCCTACGTGGTACTGGTCTGAGGCGACGTATTCGTATTGCTGTCGATGGGTCAGTACGGTATATTTGGATTTCTGCATCTCGACATACCTTGAACTTCTCGGTCGCGTTGTATCGGGTGTAGACGGCGGTCTTGTACTGGCACGGGTCGGAGTATAGTTGTCTGCCGTCCACCTTGATGGGCTTGAGGACGAGGCCGCCCGCTGCCGTTTTCTCGTAGCTTCCGTGTTGCCATTGGATTATGCCCTGGGGACATTTGGGGTTGGTGGCTGTAAGGCTTGTCAGCGAACGCTCTGCTATCCTATGGTGTCTATCCGGGTAGTGTTGGGGTGACTGCGGGCAACGTACGATTTGCGATTGCGCGGTAGTATGCCGATTCAAAATGGCCATCCGCGGTAAAGGAGTAGCTGATGCCGGTGTGCTTGGGCTCGGTGAATTTCTCGTTGACAGGGTCGTAGAAGTCCTATACGGGGGATTAGTCTTGTCTCCTCTGCGGACATGGATAGAAGCGCATACAGGTCCGGTCATGGTCGAATTCGACTTGCTTGTCCATGTGCCGACGAGTTCTGCAGGAACGGCAGCAGTTTGGGCTTGCGCATGCAGGACTGCGACTCCTGAGAGCAGTAGGGCGGCTATCCGTGACAACATGATGCGTACGGTGTGCGGGTGTCGGCGTGAGAGAACGAGTGTGGACGGTCGGTGGTGTGCGGAAGCGAGCGTGGGTGCACGAAGGCGAGGGCGTAGGGGTGGGTGGGTAGATGAGGCGGGCGTGGGTGGTTGTTGAGGGAGGATGTTTGGGAATGTTTGAGTGTCGCCGCCTCCTGGCTTGGGTCCAATCGACAGGGATCACGCGGCTACTTGCAGATCATCACCGGCCTCCGGTGGGCAAGCCCGACATCATCGCCCGCACCCGCAGCGGATCTTTTAGCTGTTTGGGTCCTTCTTTGCTTTGCGACGACTCCCTATATATTGGCCGATGCGATCAGGACATCTGTTGCTCTCTGCTACATCCCATCTCAGTACCACAACACCAGATTCGACATCCGGAGTACCGGCGCTATCTTTGTACACTTGGAACGCCGTTACGCTTGCAATCAAAAGACGCTATGGCCGCATCACTAGCAGCTGTCAAGAAGGAATTGCGATCCAAGATTAGGGACATCTTGAAAGGCCTTCCCGAAGCGGCTGCTGCTACGCAAAGTACGTCATGTGTTTGTCTAGTTGCTGCTTCTACTGATGCTCCCAAGCATCTAATGCAACCAAAACCCTACTGTCCATGCCCGAGTACAAGGCGGCGCGCAGAATAAGCGTCTACCTGTCTATGCCGGGCGGTGAGATATCCACGAGCGAGATCGTGCGCAATGCGTTTGATGAGGGCAAGAAGGTTTTCATTCCCTACACTTATAAATTGGACGCACCCAAAGATGGCCAGCCCAAGTCCATCATGGACATGGTAGAGCTGCAGTCGATGAAAGACTTTGAATCTTTGGAAGCCGACAAATGGGGTATTCCAACTCCAAGCAAAGACTCCATATCGTCACGTGCGAACTGCTTTGGTGGTATTGGCATCACGAATGGAGAGACTGATGGTCTGAGTGCCGGCCTTGATCTGATCGTCATGCCGGGTATGGCTTTCGACTCGCAGTTCGGCCGGCTGGGCCACGGCAAAGGTTTCTACGACTATTTCTTGACGCGCTGTCACCAGGTATCGCGCATGCCTTTTCGCGGTAAGAACTACTGGTATTGTGTATTTGGAGGGCTAACTAACCAAGTTGAAGTTGGCCTCTCGTTAACAGAGCAGTTCCTGCCACCAAACGAGTCGGTTCCCATGGACGCCTCCGATTTCCGCCTGGACGCCTTGATCACTGGTGATGGCGAGCTCCGTCGCGGGGAGCCTTGATATCGTCCCACAAACTTTTGCATGAGATCGTCCGCACTACATGGCCCAGTCTTCCTCCCAGCCTGGCGTATGCGCCGTGTCCATTATGTGTCTTTGCGACTGTGCGGGGGTGATTTGGCGTTCGCGCTTATTGGAGTTGCTGGATGAGAGAGATGTTGTCGCCCTTCAACAGGATCTGGCCGACGTTGCGCCTCTCCTCTGGTGTGTCCTTCTTCGCGAGCGTGACTTCGATGGCGTCGTCGATAACGAGGTTCATGAATTCGTCGAAACCCTACACAACTATTAGCAGCAGTCATATTGAGGTAGTTAGGCAGTCGTACTCTCAGCTTTCCCTCAATGCGCATGCCCAGGTTCTCGTACAGCCATACCGAGATGGTCGCCCGTGATTGCAGAAGCTTGAAGATGAAGTTGATAGGAGGAAGGAGAACTGGAAAGTTATTAGCTGCTGTCGCGGCGCATGCATATGGGAGCTGTCGTACCCTTTCCTCCACCGCGGCCTGCACAAGTTAGCTAGTCGTCGTCAAGCAGCGCAGATATACTGACCACCACGTCCAGTCATTGTGAAGATGTAAATGCGCGTCTCCGGTATTTCTCGTAGTCGTAGGGGCGGAGTCGGGGCGCAATGTGGGGAGAGGCTCGGAGGAGAGCTGTGGTTGCAGGAACATTTCTGGCGCGACCTGAGCGGTCACAAACGCCTTGGCACCAACGTGGGGATCTTCGTGCTGCTTTGACTATGCGACCGAACGCAACTTCCCGTCTCCGAACAAACTCACCACCACCACAACAACTGCCGCCCTGCCTGCCTCCTCTCCGCTTGCACCTTCCTTCCGCTGCACCCTGGTAATAAGTCAGTTGATGCGCGCAATATAATCCACGCCCCGCCGCCTTGCTCCGAGCAGTATCCGCATCCGTCCCCCCACTACCACGCCCAATTCCCTCACCATGGCTGCCAACGGACAGCAGGTCTTCGACCCTGTGCTGGCGGCGCACAACACCATGTCGTCGCAGGCGGATCGCGCGCAGAAAGAGCAGGCACATCAGTTTCTGGAGCAGTTCCAGAAGTCGGTACGTAGCATGGGCACGCGTTCAGGAGCATGAGGGGCTGATATGTGACAGGAAGAGGCATGGACAACCACACTGGCTATGCTAGAGGCAAACTCAGCAGATGCCGCGGCCAAGCTTTTTGCTGCTACTACACTCAAGGGAAAGGTGAGTCGTCACTACTCTGTGCTTGGGCTGTTCTAACATGTCAGATCGTATACGACCTCCACCAAGTGCCTCGCGCACAGCTGCCAGAGCTCCGAGCATCCATCATGCGGAATCTGGCGACATTCCACGCCGGACCCAAGCCCATACGTCTGCAGCTATGCGTGTGCCTGGCGAATTTGGCTATACAGATGACCGAGTGGAAGGATGTCCTCAAAGACGTTGTCAACGCCCTCGGCTCAGATCCAGCAACGCTCCCTTGCGTCTTGGACTTCCTCCGCGTTCTCCCCGAAGAAGTCACGCATGGACGCAAGATCGCTCTCACAGTACGTCCG